CCATCTGTCTATACAGTGAACAACTTTTGCTAAGTGAAAAATCAGGGCGGAGACACCAACCAATCAGGGCCACGTTGAGAGTCATGGCACAGCTGCTCTGTTCTTAGGTGGGAGCGTGCAGTGCTGGCTACATTCAAAGACCATGACACAGAGAGCAGGGCTCTAACGGTACGCACTAACCACAGGAATCAGTGGGTCCGAAGGCACTGATCAGAATTCCCCCAACCCGAACTAAAGCCAGTGCTATGGAATCATAGCTCTCCTAGATACGGCCGAGTAGAACTGCCCTGTCTAGTTTCCGAAGACTGTAGATCTTCACAAGAACAGACAGCCTTATCGTTCTCTCTTGGAGAAGCTGTGGGGATTCTGACTTTGTGCTGAGCAGCTCAACGCACAATTGACTCCACCCCAAGGCTCCTTTTGACCAGAATGATGTTGTTGTTGGATGTCATCAAGTCAGTTCCACCTCAGCGACGCCATGTACAATAGAAGGAAACCCTGTTTGGTCGTGCACCTTTCTCACACTGGTTCCTATACTGGAGCTGACCAAATATCAGTCAGAGCCTCTGCAGAAGTAACTGAATCCTTCCTCGAGTACTCACCAAGGCCATGTTCACCTGCCCTCTGGATCCCTAAACTTCACTGAACAAGGGAAAAAAAACCCTCGTCTCTCCTTTCCCATCTTATTATTGGGGAAGGCACACATTTCGGAGTGAATTTTTAATTGATTTGCTTTTTGCGTGAAGTATTAGCATTCCAACTCATCAGAATATTTGTTGTTCAGTAGCATATGGGTGGGGTGGGGGAGCTATAAATAAATAGAGCTGTGAGAGTACAGCCCACTATCAGCATGAATTGCGAGCCATCCCATTATAAAAGCACACTCTGGAGTTTGCCTTATTACCTTCTGCATTCAGTAGTTGGCCTCTGCCCAAGGTTAGACTAGAATACCTTAGGTACTTGACATTACACCTTCCATCTCTTTCAAATCCCACCCCCCCCACCCACTTTGCTGCAGGGTGCAGAATCAATGAGCTTTGCTTCCTGGGAACCAGAGACAATTTTAAAGAAAATACGGGTTCTGGATGCAAGCAAAAACAAACACAGACACTATTTTTCATCTCTTGCAAAATAGGGCTCAGTATCAAGGGCAGAAGTGAAACACTAGGTAAGTAACAGTTTCATCAGAGCCCATTCTTTTAAAAACAACTGTTCCTTCACCTGACAAGATACAGTTAATGAAACCCATCAAAACCATATTGTTTTCTCCTTTCCTGACATGTTAAATCTCTCTCATGGGTAAATAGTTTTTTGCAAACAACATCAAACATTGCTTCCACCTGCACCCTCTCCCTCCATGGCTTTCATTGGAAGAGGCTTTGTGCAACTATCCTGCCTGGGATTCAGATGGTCCACAGCCTCTAGTTTGCTTTGATGTTTTAGCCACAATCACAGCAGTCTTTCTAATTGTTGTTGGTACCAAGACCCAGGGTAGGTGTTGTGGAAGGACAGGCGTATAACTGTGCTCTGGGTCCATCTGGGAAGGTGTCCGTTTAACTGGCTGGATTATGAGATAAAGCCACCCTGCACTGCCTCTCTTCTTCTTTCTACTTTCTATTTGCCTTTCCTACCGTATTGGCAGATGTGAGCTTTAGAAACACATGAGAAAATATTTATTTTCTGTTTTCTTCCTACTCACTAAAGTCCCACACGCAAACTGGCCTGTGTGCAACTTCTTGAAGCTGAATTGGGGTTTACATACAGACATCAGACCTTGAGATACTAACCTGGATACAGAATCTAGCTCAGGTGGCCAATGGGTGTTTCCTTTTTGTAAACAGAGAGGATACAAGGCTATCATTGACTATTTATCGTGCCAAGCACATCACAGGCTCTATGCCATTTCATTCTATGATGATCTCTATTTTCCAATTATGGAAAGGCATTAAGTAGTTAAATAACTTGTCCAACATCATATAGCCAGTAAGTATCGAAATTGAGAGATTAGTATTTATTATAGAAGGAGAAGAAGTGAAAAGATAAACTTTTCACAGTGACAATATTTAATTTCTGATATTTAATGTAGGATCATGAAATAATGCAAAAGTCTCATAAATTACATTATTATCTTAAGACCTCCTAAGTGGCTCTATTTTTTTCTATTCCTCACGTGTGTGTGTGTGTGTGTGTAACATGGAATTTATTTCTTCTTTTAATGCAATTTTTCTATGAACTCTTTGAAGGCTCCACCTACATTTATTTAGGATCCCTGATGGCACAATGACAAAAGCACTGCGAACCAAACGGACAGTTGTTTGAAATGTCCTGCCCATTTGCTCAGTTGGAAAAAGATGTAGCAGTTGGCTTGGCTTCCTTAAAGATTTACAATCTTACAAACACTATGTGGTAATTGTCCTGTACGGTTTCTATGAGTTGAAATCAACATTTCCGCTGTGAACTTGGTTTAATGGGCTATATTCATATTTATATGTTGTTCAAAAAACAAACTTACTGCCATCAAGTCCATTTTGACTCATAGTGACCTTACAGGACAAAGCCCCTGTGATTTGCAAGATTGTAAGTCATTTACCGAAAAAGAAAGCCTCACCTTTCTCCTAGTGGTGGTTTTGGAACTGCTTTCCTTGCACTAACCCTTAACTCACCATGCCACATGGATGTTTTATATTCTGTTAGTCCATGTTAAAATGCATGGTAGGCCCTCCTTTAGCAGCACAAGGACTAAGTTATAAAGATTCTTTATATAGAGTAGTCAGGAAAAATAAGGTTTCTCCCTGTGACAGCTAGGCAAATTCTATAGTAGAAGCAAAATATGATCTATAAAAAGTAAAAGAACTTTCCAGCCTTGTAGAATTGGATGATGAAGAAGGGTGAGAGATAAGTAGAAAAGAGAAGTGATGTAACAGGTACCCTGAAGCCTACAAGGAGAATCCCAGCAAGATAAGTGAAGATAACTGTTCCCCACTTGAAACTATAAGAAGACTCTGACTTGAAAATGAAAGAGCCTGACTCACAGATTTCCCTATAACTTCCAGTCTAGAGTCTACTGCATCAAGTCAACTTCATCAAGCAGAGAGTCTCCTGAAGCTTAACGTTTCCCAACTGCCTAGTTCTCTTGAGGAATCCCACTGAAGCCAAAGCAATTGAATCTGTCACGAAGACCACTATGGTAAGATGACATGGTTACAGAGATTGGCCAGTAGGCTAGATGGAAAGCATAAGGGAGATCCAGGAATTTATAAGCAATGGGAAATGAAAGGCAGCAGAATCAATGGGGCACGTTGCCAGGCTCTGGTTAAATCAAGTAAAGACCAAAACATAACTGATGAAACTTTAAACTTCAGCTGTAAATGCCAATAGAGCAAACAGCAAATAGATGACAAAGAACACCAGTTAGCCATGAGATGAAATAGAGAATAATATGAAGGCTACATGGATCTAAGGACACCCCCTCCCCCAATCTTGTCTACTACAAGAAGTTCATTCCATAAGCCTTTTCTCTCTCTCTCTTATATGTGTGTGTGGGTGTGTGTGTGTGTACTTGTAGTCTATTTGACATTTATTTCTGAAAAATTCCTGCGGTTTTATCCCTTTGTTATCTTCCAGGAATCTTAATAGTTTTAGCTATAACATTTAGCTCTTCAACTCATTTTGTTACTTTTTTGCTTTTTAAAATTTTATTAGCATTGCATTCACATGTCATAAAATTCAATAATTAAATCACATCAAGAAGAGTTCTACAATTGTCACCATGTTCAATTCTAGAACATTTTCTTATTCCTTCTAGTCATTGTTATTCATAAGCCATTCCTCATATACTCAGGCAGCATATTATAGAGAGAAAGGAAAGCTTATCAAGAGAATATTTTATTAAAGAGAAACGGATTACTATCTAATGAGAATGTTTACATCAGAGGTCAGAAAACTACCAACCTAAAAAACAAAACAAAACCTGCTGCCGCCTCCATTCAATTCCAACTCATGTTGCTGTTTTTATTTTTTTTTAAATCATTTTATTAGGGGCTCATACAACTCTTACCACAATCCATGCAAACATCAATTGTGTAAAGCATATTTGTATATTCATTGCCCTCATCATTCTCAAAACATTTCCTCTCCACTTAAGCCCCTGGCATCAGCTCCTCGTTTTTTCCCCTCCCTCCCCGCTCCCCTCTTCCTCATGAGCCCTTGATAATTTATAAATAATTATTTTGTCATATCTTGCCCTGTCCGGTGTCTCCCTTAACCCACTTTTCTGTTGTCTGTCCCCCAGGGAGGAGGTCACATGTCGATCCTTGTAATCGGTTCCCCTTTTCTTTTCACTTGCTGTTGAGTCAGTCCTGTTACATCAGAAAGAAATACTATTGGTTCTAACTGATATCTACCCTTTACAGGGTTTCCCAGGCTATAATTCTTTACTAGAGCAGAATTGCCAAGGCCAAATTGGCCATCTGCTTTTGTAAATAAAGTTTTATTGGAATCCATTCACTCTCATTTATTTACATATTGTATAAGACTGTTTTTCACTGCAACAGAATTGAGTAGGTACTTGTAGCAGAGACGGAGATCTTCTCCAAACCATTAATAATCGTGTTTTAGGCTTATAAAGTGCTTTCATATCAATTGATTATATTTAATCTTTACAGATTTTCTTTTATGAAGGGGTTTGTGAAAAAGGTGCTATCAGCCCCATTTTATAGACAAGGGTATAGTTAAATCCCCATGAAGTTTAAGTGCATGCATTTAGTAAATAAGAAAGACAAGGACATTGAGCTTAGGTGTTATAATTATATGTCAATTATATTTCCCACCCTGCCATAGCCAAACCCACTGGAAGCCTCCATTTAAACTTAGTCAAAGAATCAATATAGGCCTACAAGTAAAAATTGGTTATATAATTGTCAAGGTAGATTTTTCAACTCTGAATGTCTTCCAAATAATTTGCTGTCTTATTTATTTGACATCATGACTAAAAATTCATAGAAAACTTCTGACACAAAGGATGGAAATTCAGAACAGAATTTCAAGTTTTCATGGCTTTAGAAGTTCTGGAGTCCAAGAAAGTGGATGAACCTCTGAAACTATTGCACTGAAATAGACCTCATATATTAAACTGATAAGAACAGATACTACAATTGATCTTAGCCAAAAGGCCAAGAAGCGATAAACCTCATATATTAACCCAAAAGTTTCTCCTGAAAATTTCTTATACCTGAATGACAGTTTAACTTAGTAATAAGAATGGTCAACCCAAAGGATTTATTACTAAAATCTACAATACCCTCCTAGCCTGCAAAAAGAGGAAAATAGTTAACCCCCTGAGGATGTGGGCAAAAGACCCAAACTAAATAAACATATGAAAAAATATTCCTGATCATTAGACATCAGAGAAATGCAAATCAAAACCACTATGTGATACCACGTAACACCCTTGAAGATAGCCCAAATCAGAAAATCAGAGAGCAACAAGTGTTGAAGAGGATGTGGTGAGATAGGAACTCTCCTCCAGAGTTGGTGGTCATGTAGATATGCACAGTCACTGTGGAAAGCCATCTGGTGATATTTAAAGCAAATGGAAATTGTGTTACCTTAAGACCCAGCAATCCCGCTACTGGGCATATACCCAGAAGAGGTAAGAAATGGATCAACACCAGACATCTGCGCTCAATGTTATTTGTGGCACAATTCACAATGCCAAAGAATTGGAAACAACCTAAATTTCCATCGATAAACAAGTGGATTAGAAAACTCTGGCAAGATCCAATCTAGGTATACATAGGGCAGCCAACTAAAAAGGTGGGGGAAAGAAAGAAAAAAGGCATGGATAACAGGGAAACAGGGCAATATCCCACCAAAGGGGAGGGTATTGTTTATATCTCCACAGGAGAGGATGAGTGGGACCAGATTTCAACCCTGTGTGCCAAGACATGAATGCAATGTACCATGGGTAGGGAACCTATATGAAGTGGGGAACCTATAGAGAGGTAGGGAACCTATAGATGAGCCTGAAGTGGGGAACCTATAGAGAGTAGGGAAGTAGGAAACCTATAGAGTATGAAGTCAGGAACCTATAGAGAGGCCTGGGGGCGGGGTCAACCTCAATCCCAGCTACATGGATTCCCTTTCCCTGCCCAGAAGAATGCAGAATGCACTGCAGAGGACAGCACTGAAGCTACAGGACAAGAGAGGGGCACATCTGATCAGAGCACACAGGAACAAAAGAAGAGGGAAAGAGAGTGAGTGGAACATACCCTGGTGCACCAAGCTCCAAGGATGATATTCCTGCTCAGAGCAGCCAATACAAAGAGGACCATAGGGCTGGCCCCACGATGAGACATGACATCCCTCACTGACCCAAAGCTCTACAGGGGACCACACAAGAGACAAAGTGTGGGAATTGTGCCCAGAGCCCCCCACACTGGGCCGAAACATTAAGGTTGTGCAATACAACAGCAAGGGGAGCAAAGCAATGAAGTCCCCAAGGAATACCAAAAATAGACGTTGGTGCCAGGGCATGCACCTCATCAGACTTGACCAGAAAACACTCTTAAAGGTCAAAATACAGAACTGGAACTATTTATAGGCTTTTCTTTTTGTTGTGGTTGTTGGTTTGCTTTTGGTCTTCCTTTGTTGTTTTGTCTTCCTTTGTTTTGTTTTTGTGTTTATTATTGTTTTTGCGTGTCTATCTAGAGAAGATAGGCAGGGTAAACAATCCGGAGGAGAAAACAACTGGACTAATAGTTCCAGGGGGACACAGGAAAGGGGGAGACAGGGGAAAGGAAAGGGGGGGTGCCAACAAACCCAGGGGCAAGGGAACAGCAAGTGATCTAAACTTGATTGCGTGGAGGGCACAGGATGCCTGGTGGGGCTTGATCAAGTGCAATGTAGCCAAAAGGAATTACTGAAACCAGAATGAAGGCTAAACATGATAGTGGGACAAAAGGAAAGCAAAAGGAAATAGAGGAAAGATCTAGGAGGCAAAAGGCATTGATAGAGGTCTAAATACAGGCATGCACATATGTAAATATATTTATATATAAAATGATAGGGAAATAGATCTATGTACATATGTTAAGTATTAAGGTAGGAGACAGACATTGGGCCTATACTCAAGTACTCCCTCAATGCAAGAACACTTTGTTCTAATAACCCAGCATTCTGTGATGTTCACATTCCCTGACAAGATCACTGAAGGTAAAATGGGTACATAAGCAAATGTGGTGAAAAAAGCTGATGGTGCCTGGCTATCAAAAGGTATAACATCTGGAGTCTTAAAGGCATGAAGATAAACAAGTGGCCATCTAGCTGAGAATCAACAAAGCCCACATGGAAGAAGCACACGAGCCTGTGTGATCATGAGGTGTCGAAGGAATCAGGTATCAGGCATCAAAGACCCAGAACAAAAAAAAAATTTTTAATTAATGTGAATGAGGGGAGGACTGAGTGGAGAACCAAAGCCCATTATAGACAATTGGACATCCCCTCACAGAAGGGTCACAAGGAAGAGGTGAGCCAGTCAGGGTACAGTATAGCACCAATGAAACACACAACTTTCCTCTAGTTCTTTAACACTTCCTCCCCCTCATTATCATGACCCCAATTCTACCTTAAAAATCCAGCTAGACCAGAGCATATACAAGGATACAGATAAGAGCTTGCAACACAAGTAATCCAGGACAGATAAACCCCTCAGGACCAATAATTAGAGTAGTAATACCGGGAAGGGAAGGGGAAGGTGGGGGGAAAAAGGGGGAACCAATCACAATGATTGACATATAACCCCCTCCTAGGGGGACGGACAACAGAAAAGTGGCTGAAGAGAGACAGCTGCTGGTGTAAGACATAAACAATAATAATTTATAAATGATCAAGGGTTCATGAGGAAGGGGGGGGAGGGGAGCTGATACCAAGGGTTCCAGTAGCGAGAAAATGTTTTAAAAATGATGATGGTAACATATATACCAATGTGCTTCACAGGATGAATGGATGTATGGATTGTGATAAGAGCTGTAATGTCTCTCAATGAGATGATGAAAGAAAGAAAGACAGCAAGCAGGCTCTAGAATATATACACAATGGAGTACTACGCATTATTAAAAAGCACTGATGAATGCATGAAGCACATTGTCTCGTGAGAAGAAATGGAGTAAATTATGCTAAGCAAAGTTAGCCAATCACAAAAGGACAAGTACAACATAAGTCCCCTGAGGTAAGTATCATCAGTACAGTAGGTGTAGAAGAAAAGCCACTTCTCTCACACTGTACAGGTTGAGGTCCAGGCAATTGGGCAGGGAACAGAACAAACGCAAGGAGGTACATGTCATTCCAACACAAAGAAGGGAAAGGGGGGGTAGACAAGGGAGGAAATAAAGGATAGGATGGCACTTTGGGAATAGGGTACTAATCCACCCAGGGGGCGGGGGGAATCTTTTATGTCTCCACAGAAATGGGAGTGTGAGTGCAGACACCACCATGGCGCACCAAACCTTGAGCAGAGAGGTCTATGGGTCTGGCCCCAATCAGAGCCAAACTGGCACTGCCCCCTCTCTCCCTAGAAATATGTGCTGCAGAGGACAACACTAAATCTATAGGTTTGGTAGAAGGGAAGGCCTGCCATGTCCATAGAGAAGCAAACCAAGATGGAAAGAGAGCAAGGGACTAGATCCTATACAGGCACACCAAGTCCTGAGGATGACGACCCTGCATGGAGCTGCTAAGGCACAGAGAGTACTGTACAGCTGACAACAGCTTAAGGCATGATATCTCCTCGCTGGAGAATACCACGACAGAGGACAACAATGGGGACATATGGCGGGGAGTGTGTCAGGTCTGACCACCCCCACAGTGGAGGGAACATAACAGGCCAGCAAGGGTAGCAAAGCCAAGCCACAAAACCCCTGAGGACCCCTCCCCAATAGACTTCAGGCTAGGAGGGGCAGTTTCCAGAACCCTGTAGGGCCGCTGGGAAGATAATCATAAAGGTCAGCAGACAGACCTGGAATTATGTATGTTTTCTTGTTGTTGGGGTTTTTTTCTCCTTTTTTTCCTGGGGGTGGTGGTGGTTTTTTTCTTTTTTTATTCAATCTTTTGTTTTATTTTTGTTTTGTCTCTGTTATTTTTGTTATGCCTTCCTATATAAGATAGGCTTGGTAAGCAAGTCCAAGGAGAAAGCAATGGACCAAAGGTTCTAGAGGGACCTTGGCAGAGGAGGAGGCAGGAGAAAGGAGCAGTGAGAAAACAACGACATAGACAGGAGACTAACTAGGGAAATAAAAGCCACAATGAAGAAGACATAGAGACCGTGGTGGTGTTGGAGTAACAGCAATTCAGCTGTGAGGAATTACTAAGAGGCAGAAGAGGGTCAAGCATGATGGTGGGGCAAGAGGAAGGTAAAAGGAAACAGGAAAAATCTAGGAAGCAAAACTTTGAATATAGGTATAAACATAGGTGTGCACTTATGTAAATGTATAAATTCGTAAAAATAGAGGTATTGGTCTATGTACATATATTTATGTAGCAATATATGGAGGTAGTAGAGAAACTTTGGGCCTCTGCCCAAGCCCTCCCTCAATGCAAGAACACTTTGTTCTAACAAGCAGGCACTCTGTGATGCTCACCATCCCATCATGATTGCTGAAAACAAAATGGGTGCATAAGCAAATGTGGTGAAGAAAGCTGATGGTGGCCAGCTATTAAAAGGTATACTGTCTGGGGTTTTAAAGACTTGAAGTTAAACAGAGAAGCAGAGAAGCAACAAGTTCACATGGAGAAGTACACCAACCTGTGTGATCATGAGGTGTCCATGGAATCAGGTAACAGGCACCAGCAGTCCCCAAACAAACAAACAGAAAACATTGTTGAGAAGGAGGGGGTTCATAACAGAGACCCAAAACCCACCTGTAGGCAATATGCCAGCCCCTCACTAGGAAGAGATGAGTTTTGCTGTTTATAGTCTCAATAGCAACAACAACAAAGTGCATCCAGGTTCATGTCTCAGCTATGTGACCTTGAAATTGCTGCCCACCTTCTTTGTGCCTAGGTTCCTCACAAAATGAAGGATTAGGGAGTAAAAGATGTGATGCATGTTAAGTTCTTAGAACAGGTACCTAGAACACAGTTATCATTCAATAAGTGATCATTTAACTAAAATGCCATTAATGAAAAT